ATAAAAATTTATAAAATAATAAATTTATAAAAATTTATAAAATTTCTATTTAAAAGGCTACAATTAAAAAACAAAAATATATAAAATGTATCGAAATTTTTAGAGCGGCAAAAGAAAGTTCGAAAATTTAGCCATTTAATCGGTTAGAAATGAGCCCTGGCGTCGCGCCAAAATTTCGTCTACATTAATGCGCGACGAAGTATCCGAGTCAATGTGACATCGGGATACAGATGCACGTTGCACCTACGCATATCCGTTGCAACGGCCGGGAGGCGATCACCCGGCGAATCGCCGGCGCGGAACGCCACGTTACTCTTACGGTAAAATTATGTTTTCCACCGTTATTAGGCTCGGGTGATCTTTATGGAACGCGCAGTGTTTTCTTGTGCAATTTTGCGTTACCGATGCATTCTCGCGCGGCACTTGATACATTTGAAACTGGCTATTAAATGGATATAAATTAAATCGTTCTATACGGGAGGTGATACTAATTTTATGGAAACTGATATTTCTCCCATCCTAAAAGCGATTAATTTAAGAGTTAAGATTGGTTTAAGATTTAAAGTTGGATAGAGAGGATGTATCGTAGAAATAGTTCGCAATGTAAATTCAATATTTTCAATATATTGGATATTTAATAAGAATTTAGAAACCAAGCAAATTCTATGAAAATCAAAAATAGAAACAAGTAAATTGATTTCATTTATTTCATAATATGTAAAAAGAAAGAGAAAAAAGAGCTTGTACGTTTTGTCTCCAAAAAACTTGTTAAATTTATTATAATATAAAAAATATTAAAATTTTGAAAGAATTAAGGCTCTTACGAATGTATCTAATAAAGGCGAGGGAAGGCAATTAAGAGACAGCGCGGTAATTTGTGCGCAAAAAAATATTAAAAAATATTAAAAATTTATTATTAAAAAAAAATATTCCATATATTTTTATTGTACCAAGAAGTTATATTGAAGAAATCAAAATTTTTAAATGTAATTGAACTAAGATCATCAAATTCTCATCGAAAAAATGTAAAAGAGAGTTAACACTTATTAAAATTAAAGAAAATACATAGTATTTAATTTTTTTTTAAATATATACATTTAACATGCGAAATTATTTATATTATTATCCGGAAATCATTGATGTAAGACGGACGTATTACGGACGTACAGGAAGTTATGTGGCATATCTACAGCTACGAATATAGCGAGCTAATTAAAGAATTGAGAGGTACGCTTGCAACCGGATGCGGCAGGGTATATATCATCGGGTTAGGATTATTCGGATAAGTGTCGCGAGCGAAGTGGCGTGAATAAACCTGCACTCAGGTCCTTCCATAATTTTTATATCGGGCAAACTATAATTATTCATACGTCCCATAGTATAAGTCGTTCTGCAAATGCTTGCACAATCTCGATGCGCTTTTGCTCGGCACAATTGTATTTGCGCTTACAATGAATATGAGAGAGAAAGAGAGAGAAAAGATTATTAATTAATAAGAAGAAATGTTAAATATTTTTTTTATATGTTAATATGAGAAACCGATTTCTCAATTTAGAAGGATTAATCATCCATCAGGCACAAAAAATTTACACAAACGGTCAAACGCAATAAAATTATCTGCTACTTGGAATATTTTTAATCGTGATCCGATAATTTGCATATTTAAGGGAGCTTACCCATTTGAACCTTCGAAAAATGAGTGATTTTCTAGATCTTTTGCAGCGCGACTTGATAAAAATTTTTTATTTTTTTACGATATTAATACAATATTATTAAGTACTTAAATAAAAATATCCAGCTTAAATTTTTTTTTTTTAATTATGCGAATATTTACAGATTTATATTTTCATGCACGGTCTGCATGAAAATTCGGGCTATGTTCGACGGATTGATTTCAAATTTTGCATTTGCGTTCCTAATAAGATTCCGTATTTGCTAACGAAGTAGATTTTTAAAATCCAATTCCCCATTTTTTCTTATAAACAAAAAAATAGATTTTTTTTTAAAAAAACGAAACTTTTTTTCAATATGCCACCATCTTCTTATTTTTCAAAATTTTGAAAAAACGCTTGGATAGCAGATAGCTATTAATATGTTTAATAAAAAAAGCTTGCATTTTTTATTTTGGATATGATAAACGAACGTTTTCATGCACACCGTGTATGAAAATATAAATCTGCAAATATTTGCATAACTCTAAAAAAAAATTTTTTTTTAAAGCTGAACATTTTTATTTAGGTACTTAATAATATTGTATCAATATTGTAAAAAAAAAAAAAATATTTTTATCAAACCGTTGTGCTACAAAAAAATTTAGAAAATTACTCATTTTTCGAAGGTTCAAACGAGTATGTTCCCTTTAACATATAAAGAGAAATAAATAACGAGCAATCTATGTGGACAAGAATACGTTAGATAAATAATGCGGAAATACGTTCCCATATTTATCTCAACCGATTGAAAACATAATACCGCCAAGTTTCTAACGTATCTATATGAGACATTGGTCGATTTTCAAGTCCTCTATCTTCTATTAAGCCCACTTTACACGATCTATAATTTGCAACAGAATTCAAGACAGAATTCTATTTATAATTTTTATGCGTTGTGTAATACAGAAAACATGTGAACAATCAGAATTATAACTATCATGCTTTATTTTTATAAATAGAAAAAACGCATGAAATATGCGCAATGTATCTATGATTGGTGAATTGTAAATGACATAAACTACAAGTTAACCTACTCTCGTATCTGCTTAATAATCTAAAGAAAGAAAAGAAGAAAAGAATATATGTGACAATGTCTTGGTCCCGGGAGCAAGTTACTTGTTTATTAACTGAATATAAGAAATATCCTTGCCTACTATTCAGTTTTTTGTACAAAAATTTGCAATTATAAAACAAAAAATAAATTTTGTACACATATAAATTTTCACATGGATACACACACATACATATTCTCTTAAGTATTTTCTTAAATTTTATTTCCAACAACTGTGATAGTAATTTATTTATTTCATCATGCTATATGTTTTATACTTTTATTATATTTATATGTATTTCTTAATAACTATGTCGTATTTTTTAATAATCCAACCATATGTCAAAGAAAGAAACAATCGAATATTCTATACATAATTTTAAATCAAATTATGGTTCGTGTAATACAAAAATTTTTTCTTATCTATAATTATATTCATAATTTGATATATAAAATTATAAATAGAATTCTGTCTTGAATTCTGTTGCAAATTATAGATCGTGTAAAGTGGGCTTACAGTCTTTTTATAATTCTGACTATATTTTCCATTTTCTAAAAAGTTCTAATAATTAGAAGAATTACATAATTCGTTAATTAATATATTTTACTCGGGAAAAGAATATGTCTCTTGTATATTTCGCCCGATGCTCTTTATCGTTAGATCATTCGACGATTTAAATATAATATTTGATTATTTAAATATAATATTTGAATCGAGAACACGCAGTAAAACAATCGAATGATAAAATCGAATAATTAACATAATGAAAAGTCTTGTGGTAGATTAACCATTTAATAAATAATTAATATATCTATATACTTCAAAATATTTTTATATAATTTAATATTTCACGAGTATATATATATATGGTTTAGTACTTACAATATTTTAGTTACAAATTAATAATAATTACACAATGATTAATTTTTGCCGTATATAGTGCGCTAATATTTACATGCCGCGATCTTGCTACCGCATGACGATAGGAAAGTAATAATTAGACACTCCGTCGAATTTCTTTTCTAAATGCGATTACAACGAGTATCGGGAAATAATTAGACATAATTAATATGATTAATGTGTGAATAATTAATTTTCATATATATTATAAATGATAGAGATGAATAAAATATTTTATTATGATTAAAGAACGAATGATTTTAATATATTATATTAATTAGAATAATCATAAAATATTATTTTAAAAATTTTATAAATAAATACATGAACTAAATACATGTACTCTGATATTGTTCAGGGAGATTCGATATATCGAGATTTGACAATAAATACATGTACTCTGATATGGAAAATTTTCAATGTATGAAAATAACGAATTAATAATTACAAACGTAAAGAAACATAAATATTTATTTCTTTATATTGTTTGTTAAATTGTATGTGAAATTAACAACAAAATATAAATATTTAAAAATTAACAATGAAAATCTTCAATGATTCTTAACAAATAAATATAAATTTTATTTTAAATCTAGATTTTGTAGGACTTGACAACCTTATGTATTTACGTATTTATTTGATGTCTGTTATTTCGACATTGTTAGTTCTTGATCACCTTTTAAAACGGTAACATCACGTTAGTGTAAATATAACGATACATATAAGGATATTAACGCTACGCAGTAATAAAGTATTAATTACAATTTGCTAAATTTTATAAGGAACGGAATTGTATTAAAATTAGCATAACATTTCCAATATACAGAGTAAGTCGTCAAAAACAAAATATTATGTATATCTCTTTAAAGTTACATAAAAGATATATAGAATGCAATTTAAATACTACTAAAGTATGAACACCATGAAAATATCTTAATTTGTTTTAAATTATCTTTTCCAAAATTGTCGACATTTTATTGGCGTTCTTTTATTTCTTTTCTTTTTTATTTCTTTTTAATAAAACTTTATATATGTATATTGCATCTGACAAGAACGTTAATTTTATTTAATATAATATTGTTATGAAATATCTTCGAATTAAAAAATTTAAGGTTAAACAAGAAACTTTTCAATATTTAATTTTATATTTAATCTACATATTTTTAAATGGATAATAAAAAATATTGTAATGGCATACAATCATTAATTTGCAACGTTATTTTAAGCTCGATTACTGATTCGCTTATATTCATTCAAACGAATTCAAACGAATAATGAAGAAATGATGTTTGTTTTTTCGTAATACATAAGAGAATATCCGTTTCATCTATAAACTAGTTGCCGAATGTCCGAAAAGGCATATCAAAATAGTCGAAAAAAATTTAATTATCCGTTGGTTTGTTATTCGTTGTTAATTCGCTAAAGACATACTCATTTAAGAAACAACAAATCTTAAAAATAACATGTTGATATATAATTAGATCGATTTATCACAGAAATATTCATCATGGATGACATTTCTAATTACTCGAGAAAACTAATTCTAAAAAAGTTAGCACTTTATTTGTTGTAAATTCTATTGTCTAAATTTTGTTTTATATTTGTCTTTCTTTCAACAGGGAAAGTTATTAAAGATATCAAAAATTGATATGGCAATATTCCTAAAACCGTTATTTTATGGCGGTCTTATATTTATCACCGCGATAGCTTCTTCTGTCGATGAAAATCCGAAAAAGTCATTGATTGCATTGAATAACTATTTTGGTAATGTCATGCCGGTGCATTACGATGTCAAGCTTATACCATATTTTAAAGAAGACCAAGAAAGAGATGAAATAAATGTATCGTATAAAACAGAAATAGAACAGCATCAAGCAAAAGGTAGCTTCGTTTTCTATGGAGAATTGAATGTCGCTATCGATATTTTTCATCCAACCACAAAAATAAGGTTAAATTCATCGAGGTCAATACACTATTTATATGGAAAGTTGAGGCAAAAGGATACTATGTTTGGTACATATTTAGTGGACAATTTTGAATATGATGCTGTAACACAACTTTGCGTTCTTTATTTCGATGATAAGTTACCACGTGGAAGTTATATATTGAATATAATATTTCTCAATGCAATTAATAACACAGAAAACATTATAATTTCTTTAAATACTATACGAGAGAAATTTGGACAATATGGGTGAGTAAATGGTAATATGTGTTAAAAGTACATTTTTATTAAATATTAGTTTTTGTCATTTGTAAGACATGTTTACTCTTTTATTTTCTATTATCTTTTTTTTTATAATATTAGATCTTACAACTCACCTAAATATACGATTGTAACGTCTTATACAATTTTTAATCAATTCTATTTATTATTAAACACAGAAATATGTAAATTAAAATGTATATATTATCATCAAAAATTGAATAGTTTAGATACGATAGATTATATTTCATATTGTTTTGCCTCATGTGTGTATGGAATAAAATATAAAATAAATTATTGTTAATACTTTTATATAAAAGATACGCATGCACGCAAGCGCACAAGAATGAAGGGAATTAATTTGTTATACAATTTATATGATATTATTTAATTAACTTTGATATTTTTAATAAAAATTTTTTGAATGTCTTGTTATTACAATTTGTGGTTTAAAACATGATTTTATTTATAATTATTTTCATCAATTATTGAGTGGAATAATCGTGCGCGCACCATTGTACATTCTGTGTAATACATAGTAGGCAATACAAGAGAATTTATTAAATAAAATTTACAAGCATTGTTTTTTAAGCAGGTATGTGTATGTTTGTGTAAACCATATACTACTGGCGTATCAAATAATTTGTAGTCATGCACGCATTATCAAACGCGCGATTTACGAAAGGCAATGATTAAATAAATTTTATTTATTTAATCACTTATTTATTTTATTGTATTTTCCGCTTCGTTAAATACTCCAGAAAAAGATTAGAACTTTCCGATTCATTTTTTATCAAGAGATAATGTAATTGATGGGCGCAAATTATCACACTTTATACTATATATATTCTAGTCGCTATGTTAAGGATGGTCTAATGCCATTGATAATTAACAATTCATTGTTAACAAATCGAATCAATATTATTAAAATGCCCTAGGTGGTCGAATGCAACACATTTTCAGGCCATTGGAGCCCGACGATTGTTTCCATGCTGGGACGAGCCGACAATAAAAGCCACTTTCAACATTTCTATAAAACATCATCGTGATTATAGGGTTTTCTCAAATATGCCGATACGAAAAGAGGAAATATTGAAACATGAAGACTATAAAACAGAAACACATATGAAGTGGACATACTTTGATATCACTCCTGCAATGTCCACTTATATCGTGACGCTTGCGATCACGCCAATAAATGCCCTTTACAATTTTCGTATTGGTAGAATCATTCTATGGCGAAGACCCGAATTGCAGCATATGAAATATGCTCAAATGGTTGCAAACAAAGTAATGTTGGAAGTCAAATGGGGAAACTTGAAGATTCCAACAGTGCAATTTGTCGCAATATATGGTTTGCTATACGATAATCAAAACTGGGGATTGGTATTAAATAGGTAATATAAAAATTTTAAAAAAATATTAATCTATTAAATCACAATTTTTGTAAGAATCAAAATTACAAACACACACCTTAAAATATAAGTATTTAGAGTATAAGATTATTATAACAAATATATTAATATATTTTTAGGATTAATTATAAGTTGATTTGAATAGATAACATATATATTATATATATATGAACATATCACATTTTTTATATAGTTAGTCTGCAAAACAACATATGATTATATCATATCAATTGCGTTATCCGTTTAGATGACATTTTTTCAGTTTTAAATAAAAAAATACATTAAATAAAAAAATACATTAAAAATAAATTAATATTATTATTTGCACAAATTTATGTTTAATACTAAATTCTTGCAAATTTTACTTCTATATGTTTTAGAGAAACAAGTATTATGTACGATGAAAATCTACATTCTGTTGCGCATAAAATAAATGTCGCACGGTTGATAGGACGAGAAATGATATATCAATGGTTTGGTCATTTAATCAATCAATTTTGGTCGTCTCACTTATGGTTAATCGATGGCCTTACTATGTTGTTTGGAACAGATATCATCAATTCTATCGAGGTAGTTTTCTTATATATTTTTAGTGATATTTTCTTTTTCTCTTAATGTATATTTTTATATTATGTTTCTTCAATATCATTTTACGCAAGTACATAAAATTTTTGATCTTATAAGAAAATGAATGATTCTTCAACTATTTACAACATTAATTATGTCATATGAAAATTGCTTAAGCTATTTATAAATTCTTTTCGTGTCTGTTAAGTCTAAATTATATGTTGATCATTTGATATTTTCAAATTATTATAAAATCTACAATAGAAATATAGATAGGAAATAGCATACATACATACATTTATTACAATCATTTTTAATGAGTTCACATAGTTTCAATGACATGCTGATTTCAAACACTACACATTATTTTTTGGGAAACATCGCTATATTTTTGTAATGTTGATAAATAACAAAATTATTTTCATCAATAGCGATTAATATGTATTGTTAATATGCACAAAATTTCTTCTTTTAGGATTATAGAAATTCCGAGATGTTGGATTTATTTATAGTTCAAGTTCAATTTGAATCTCTTCGTTTGGACACTCATTCTTTCATGAAGCCTCTTATGACAGAAGCCCATCCTTCCGAAATTAATGCTCTTTCTTTTTTTTCTCGTTATATTAAAGGTAAAATTAATAAATATAATTAAAAATTGCTTATAAATTTTAGAATATATTATAAGGGAATATAGAACATTAATAATAAACAAATATATATTTACAGTTTAATGATGTAATGACTTTTTACTATGATATAATATATTATAATTAAAAATCTATTTTTGTTGAAACAAAATCAGATAAAATTACTAACTTACGCGAGCACAGTGTAAAATATAAATTTATTCTAAAGATATTTAAATCATTATATAAATATATATATAGATAAGTCTTTAGAAGTCAAATAAATCAACTACACTTTTTATAAATCTCTTAATTTTAATACCAGAGCACTTGAGAGGGATTAGTATATTAAAATTAGAAAATATCAAAATTTAAAAAAATTACAATAAATGTAGTTGTTAGTTTGGCTTTTGAAAGACATATAAAGAGGATATAAATTATATTGTATCATATGAATTGTAGCACCATTAATATTGCGTATGCTGCAGTATCTAATTACCGATAAAGTGTTTCGGATGAGTATCTACCAATATCTAAATGAGCAGTAAGTGTAATATAAATATTATAAATAAATAAAATTTTAAAATATTAGTTACTTATATCATAAAATTCTTATATAAATATTAAATATTGCAGTTATGTAAGTTCTACAACTTGTTTAAATTAAACAATACTTTGATATTTTTGGATATAATTTACATTTAGTACAGTTTTTACTGTGTAATAAAATCAAAATTTAACATATTAAATATAGTGTGCTTAATTCGACTCCCGATGATTTCTGGGCCGTTATGCAAACTGCTGTAGATGAATCATATGATAATCCCAGGCATATTAAACAATACATGCTTCCTTTAACAATGATAATAAAAAATTGGAGCCGGCATATGGGTTATCCTGTGTTGAAAATAACGCGAGATTATTATAAAAACAGTATGAATATAACAATAGAAAATTACGATATATTTGAGGAAAATCTTGTCTGGATACCTGTGACTTATACTACGCAGAATGAAGCAAACTTTAGAAATCTTAAATATCCGCTTTCTGACCAAAGATTAATGCTTATACCGTCAGACGAGCCGTTTGAACAAGTTATTATAAATGAAGATGGTTGGGTGATATTCAATCTACAACAAGCTGGTGAGAATATCGATGAAAATATATTTTTATTATATTTTACATAATAAAGTCTTAAACTGTTGTATATTTTTGTTTTTATCTTTTTTTAATAAGAGCATGCATTATATAAGTAAACATATAGTAACATAATATAATATTTCAATAAATATTGTATGAAGTATTCTATACTGTATCGATGAACATGAGATAAATTCAATTCTGCATATTTTTTAATTATTATTTAAACTTAGATCAGTTTAAATTGATTCCCAATCACTTATATAGCTTAATTCTACATATTTAATACTCGAAATTACTCTTAATATGTAAAATGCAATTATTATTTAAACTTAGATTAGTTTAAATTGATTCCCAATCACTTATATAGCTTAATTCTACATATTTAATACTCGAAATTACTCTTAATATGTAAAATGCAGATAGTCATAAATATTTTTTAATAAATTCCCAATTAGATGAGAATTTAATAATATATAAAAAAATTATTTACTACAGGATACTACCGTGTTAATTATGATCCCGAAAACTGGCAAAAAATTGCAAAATATTTGAACTCTAAAGAATTTACGAAAATACATGTTCTCAATCGTGCTAAAATTATCGACGACGCATTTTATTTTATGGTAGAGCAGCAACTCGATCCTTCTATATTCTGGGAATTAATAAGCTATCTTGCACGAGAGACAAATTATATAGCTTGGTATCCTATGATTAAAGCTCTTGAATACATGTCGAGCGTTTTTCCACTTCCAAATGAAGAAGTCCAAAATATTAAGGTAAATAGCATTAGATTTGATCAATACAAGAGTTTTTAATTTATTTCATGTCATATTCTTCAAGCAACTTAAATATATATAGCTAAAAGAATTCAATTATGTTTGCTTATAATTTTATTTAAACTAAAAATAGAAAATTTGGGAAAAGTTTTTGTTTCATTTTTATACTGCAAATGTTAAATATACGTTATATATTTATGAATACTTATCTTTCGTATGTTTTAATGTGTGATTTTCTAATAAAATTTAAATTTAAAATTATATGTTTAATTGAAACGTAGATTGAGACTTTCGAAGGAACAACGACTAGACGATAGTCCATGTTTTAATTAAACGTACTTAATACAATATTTGTCAAAACTTTTATTAAAAGCTAATTGTATAACGTGATATTCCACTTTTAAATTATTGAGCATTTTTTTAAATTTGTATTTCTACGTTTGCATTATAATATAAATACGCAAATTTTTATATATAATAATAAATCTGTATAATTTTAGAGGACAAAATAGACAGATTTTCAGAATTTTTAGCTTGCGCTCCAAATAATGTCACAAATGAACATTTAGAATTACTTATGTTAAAAAAAAATGAAGATTTTGATGAAATATATATCAAAAGACATATTAATAGTTTTCTTTTTATTATTGCAAAGCATGCAAATCACAATGATGTGCTTTCAAATATGTTAAGAAATTTCGATAAATTGAAGCCAAGGTAATAACCAGAAATATTTTTTTCTTGAAAAACGTGTTTTTTTATAATTACGAAAATTTGTTACGCATAGGTATTAGTTATATGTATACGCTATTTTGTTTTGATAGGGGTATAAATAGGATTGCACTATTTATTGTTATTGTTAATCATGTGTACTCTAAGGAACAATTAGACGAGGTAAATTTTATATAAACCCAATTATAAGTTTTTTATTATTAAACTTATTTATATCTATATATGCATTATACATATAGATATGTATTATACATATATATAATGCTGCAGACTTTTTGTAAAATCAACTTTTTGACAGACAGCTCAGCTTTTTTATAAAACGTCTGATCTTTGAAGATCAACATTTAAAGACTGAATTTATAAGGAGTCTGCAACACCCATATACACACACGCATGCGCGCACACGAACGCACGTTCACGCAACATACACACACATATATATATTTTTTTTTAATTTTAATCATGCTGAAAATAAGAAATAATATTTTGTTAAATTTTTAATATACTAAATTAAATTACTATTTGACTTTCTTGACAATAAATGTTCAAATAATTTATTGTACATAGATCAGAAAAAATATGAGAAATATCATTGAGCCAGAAGCATACATAAATCATATTAAACGTATGTACGAGAAAAACAAAACTCCTTTTGGCAGGGTAAATTTTATGCATTTCAAAGTTATACTTATTTATATCTTAAGTTTTTATTACTAAAATTTATATCATTGGTATATGTCATATAAGTAGTATTTGTGTTTTAATTATGTTAGACTTGTAAAGTGATAAAATTTTTAATGTCAAAATAATCTATTTTAGGCAACTATTGAAGTATATTTTCACGAATATAAAAATCATGTGAAACAATGGATGTTGTATGCTGAACGCAAACTACAAATGCGCTTGTCTGAAATTGAGAGGCAGATAACTTATCTTCATAATATTTCACAATAAAGAAATATTAAATGTGAATAATTACAATTACAGCAAAAAATTTTAAGCAGTGGTTGTGATGTACATATCGTTGTTCAATATTATCAAGCATAATATTTTGTTAATATCATTATTATACTAGTTATTCTTAACATCATCACATCATTAATTTTAAATTATTGTTAATTTATAATAATATTTTGAATGTAATATAATAATTAATCAGTAGTTATAATATTGACATTCCGTGAAAAAATATACATAAAATCATATATGGTCGTATATTATTTTCACAACACAAGTTTTATATAAATCGTAAGATAAATTTATTCATGAATAAAAATATTTTTACAAAACTCTATTGTGTGTTTTAAAATACTTTTTAATAGAAAATTATAAAATCTTGGTTTTAACTATATAACAACTATAATATGTTGCAGTTATAACATTAATTTCTTTAGCTATAATTGCAACTATCGTTACTATTTTTACGAGCTACAATTATTTTTAACAATACTTAGACTAAATCATATTTTGTTCCATACTTTAATGTTCGACTTTTCTACGATTTAAATATGATTCGGATTGAGAACGTGCAGTATGTAAAACAATTGAATGATATATGTTATAGTATTTAAAATATTTCAGCAATAAATTAATAATAATTCCGCGATGTTTAGTCTTTGTTGTATATAGTGCGCTAATATTTATATGCCATGATCTTGTTATCGCACGACGATAGAAAAGTAATAATTTAAGACACTCTGTCGAATTTTTTTTTCTAAATGCGATCACAACAAATGTCGGCAAATAACTTGACATAATTAATATTAATGTATGAATAATTAATTTTTATGGATATAAATGGCAGAGATAAATAAATATTTTAACATGACTAAAAAATGGATGATTTTAATACAATATATTAATTAGAATAATCATAAAATATTATTTTAAAAATTTGTGATATACATAAATATATGAAAATACTCTAATATATGGAAAATTTTCAATGTATAAAAATAAGAAAATAATAATTATAAACGTAGGGAAACATAAATAATTATTTTTTTATATTGCTTAGTAAATTGTATATGATATTAACAACAAAATATAAATATTTAAAATTAACAAATTAATAATAAAAATCTTCAACGATTTTTAACACATAAACATAAATCTTGTTTCAAATCTAAATTTTGTAGGTCTTGGCAATCTTATTTACATATCTTTACGTATTTATTTGATGTCTGTTATTTCGACATTTTAGTCTTCGATCATCTCTTGAAGCGGTAAGATTACATTAGTATAAATATAACGATACATATAAGGATATTAACAATTCGCAGTAATAAATTGTTAACTTTAACTAAGTCTTACAAGGAAAGGAATTGTATTAGAATTAGCATAACATTTCTAATATACAGAGTTAGTCGCCAAAAGCAGAATATTATGTATTCTCTTTAAAATTACATAAAATATACAGAACGCGATTTAAGTACTACTAAAGTATGAACACGGTGAACAAATCTTAATTTCTTTTAAATTATCTTTTCCAAAATTGTCGACATTCCGTTGATGTTCTTTTATTTCTTTTGTTTTTTATTTTTTTTT